AGATGGCAGCCTGCGGCAAGTGCAGCCGGGCTGATGGCTGAGTGCTGTGATGTGCCTAGTGTGGGTACTCCGGGCAATCCAAGCCAGGACTGCTTTGCAAGCGGGGCACCCCTTAGAACTGTCTGTCCGGGGTGGGGGTCGGGACCCTTTAAGCACAGCCCTCGGCTAGCCTGAGACAGCATCTCCACGCTCTAAGTCCTCCTCTGATGCCCTGCCGGCACTGCTTCCGGCCATCCTTAAGCCCGGTTCAGGGTCCACTCAAAACGCTAATTCGAACTAGTTTTTAGTTCTAGACGCGTTAGTTTGAATTAGCTTAGTTCGAATTAACTAATTCGAACTAAGTTAGTTCGAATTAACGTTGTAGTGTAGACGTACCCCCACCTCTGCCCTCCACCAGGTGAAATGTCAGACCTGGGAAACTTCGCATTTGTGTTCTCTTAGGTGGTGTTTCACAGATTGTCCGTGGTACATCTGATCCAACTCAACATTTCTGTTCAAAATTTCCTTTTATCCAAAAGCAGAACAAAAGTGGAAATTCTGACATTTCCTGAAAAACCATTTTTTAAAATTAGAATACAATTAATTTAACTAAATATAAAAGTTGAAAGGTTGAAGTGGAAATGGAATGCTTTGATCTTATTAAAATAAGATGTCTCGTGTAGTTGGGGTCAGATTTAATTTACTATCCACAACAGTTTCATCCAACCAGTACTTTCCAAAGGAAAATCATTCTTCTGGAAAATTTTTGACATGTTCTAACCTCCAGTGCTAATGGTGATTTTATCTTTAGAGTACCAGCAGGCCACCAAAGCATGCCATGTGCAAAAACAATTAAAGCAGTCAGGAAAAGAAAGAAAAACAAACATTTAATATTCACAGAATCCTAGATTTTCAAGCCAGAAGGGATCATCGTGAACCTCTAGCTTGAGCTCTTACAAGTTCAAAGAATTTAGCCCATCGTTAAACCATAACATAGTAAAAACCCAGGGGTAAGATTAAAATTCACCTCTAATAAAGAGCCTGCCATGGACATAGTATAAGTTCATGAACAGAAAAGATGATGTGTTTTCAGACTATTTATAATTGTGGAAAGAGGCTGGCAGGGACAACTACTGAGGGAGAGCAGGTTCCAAACCTGAAGGCCTGGGATAGTGAATAATTGACCAGTCACCAATTTATAGTATGTTGGTGGAACCATCTAAAACTGGTAAGATTATGTGAATTCCAGGTATTTCTTAATCCAGTTAGGAAGTCCAACGGGCTTTTCTTTTCTGTAGCAGATCACTTACCTAGCTAGTATCCTCTAACACTGAATGGAGTTGAATAAATAAACATTCATACAGCTGTTATCACAGAGATTAAAATATTATATTGATTAATGTAGTGTAGTCCAGTGGATAAGGCATTAGACTGAGACTCAGCAGTACTGGATACTTTTCCCGGCTCTGTCCCTAGCTTCTCTGAGGAAGAAATTTTCCCTGCTCCATGCCTCAGTTTTCCCATCTATAAAATGGAGATAACAATACTGACTCCAAAGCATTTTGAGAACAATGGATGCAAAGCCCCATATAAGAGCTAACCATGACTCTTAGGGTATGTCTACACTACAAAGTTAGTTCGAACTAACAAACGTTAGTTCGAATTAACTTTGATAGGTGCTACACATGCAAACTGCTAGTTCGAACTTAATTCGAACTAGTGGAGCGCTTAATTCGAACTAGGTAAACCTCATTCCACGAGGACTAACATCTAGTTCGAATTAACTAGTTCGAATTAAGGGCTGTGTAGCCACTTAATTCGAACTAGTGGGAGGCTAGCCCTCCCCAGCTTTCCCTGGTGGCCACTCTGGGCACCACCAGGGATACTCGTCTGCCCCCCTCCCGGCCCTGGAACCCTTAAAGGGGCATGGGCTGGCTACTGC